GACTCGAACACGGTTCAACGAATCGTCTACTTTCTCTGATTTAATGAAACGTAAAAAACTTCCGCGCTTCGCGCGGGAGGGGGAAAAACTGAATTCAGATACGGATTAAGAGTCGAGAACAGTAGGCCGACACCGATTCGTCTGTTTTTTCTCATAATTTAATTATACGTCAAAGCTTCCGCGCTTCGCACGGGAGGGGAAGAAAATGAATTCAGACAAGGATTAAGAGTCAAGCACGTTCAACGAATCGTCTAATTTCTCATAATTTAATGAACGTCAAAGCTTCCGCGCTTTGCGCGGGAGGGGGAGAAACTGAATTCAGACAAGGATTAACATCGAGAACGGTACAGCAAATCGTCTACATTTCATAATAATTTAATGAAACGTCAAAGCTTTCGCTCTTCGTGCGGGAGGCCTTACACCGACACCCCCCTAATGAGCGCGCTTCGCGCGCTCCTAAGTGATCCGCTTGCTCACTACCGCCCTTCAGATATTGACCATGAATACATTCGAAATTTCTGTTACTTGATTTTTTTTATTTTACATGCAAAATACTATTTATTCCCTACAAAATGTAAAAATAGTAGATTATCTTCTGAATTATTTAAGAAACAGTTGAAATATTATTATGACTTTGAACAAATAATTTATTCAAAACAAGACCGTTTTTAAATTTCTCGATAAATGGAGAGATGTACAATTTGTATCAAAACATTTTTTGTAGGCCTGACACTTATTATGTTATGTTTGTTTTGCATTAATGTGTACTGCTTATTGCCATCACATTAATTATTTTGTTTTGTGGACTTATGATATTTTTGTTAATTTCCGTTGAGAATTCTGAATAAATTATGTTTAAAGAAAACAAAAAGACAACACAATCGGGTATTACGTAAAAGCTTATTAATATCAAAATGACAGCAAAGTCAGTCAGTCGTAAGGAAAAATAATCATTGCACATGATTTCTTATATTACAAATTTGGAAAGAAAAGCTTAAGTAACGGCTTCATGTTTAATGCCATTAAAATAAAAACCGGAAAGTAGAAAACTGTGTTTGAGATTTATGTTACGATGGTTGCACCTGTGTACATGAGTATAAATATTGTTATAGATTTATAAATCTTACAATTTTTTGGGATAAGGATAATTGCTGCTCCATCACACTTTCCACGGCCCTGTCTAGAAGAGGATTTTTGTTAAAGTGCGGGTTCATAGAAAATCACAAATATGGCAAATAGCTTATTATAGGATTTTCCGGCCAAGTTCGCGAGTTTGTCATTTAAATTAATATGTCTTGCGTTCAAATTCGACGGTTCTAGTGCTGTCAGATATACCTTGGGTTTATATTCCTTTTTCTAGTTTTCAAATCTATGAAGTTTTCGTTAGAATCTATGTATGTTTCTTTCAAATTAATGAATAATGTGCTTCTTTCGCTATTTGGTCATTCGATTTGGCGCAACACGATTTCTGACATCGCGAAGGTGTACTTTTAGCGTTCGAATTCATTTGTAGCATTCAAATTAGCACTTTGTGCACTTACATTGATGGTCAATATCAATTTTTCGTTTATTACACACTTTTTATAGCTCATTCTTTTTCTTTTAAGATTGTTTTTTTTCCATGTGTATTTCATCATATCTTATTTTCATGCATTTATACACTTTATATACTTTTAGATTTATCTGATATTCATCATTCTTTAAGTTTGATTGTTAAGAAGAAAAATAAGACTTACATCTACGGACATGATGGTCTCAATATTTTTGTAAATTTTCATGTAAGGAAGTTGTTTGTCTTGTGTTTCATTATAAATTGACCACAATTTCATTATGGAGGAAGGGTAAACTCGGGTAGGTATTTTTGTACCCCCACTTTTCCGGGGTATATGAACATGTCCTTGCAGAAATGCCGTGTCCCTTGATTTCGCCCCTTCTTTACCTAATGTCTGACTACACCAATATGCATTGCCCTCAAAATTAATAAATGGAATAACAGAAACGACCCTAATGGCAAATCATGCATTTAATTGCATATTTTTAAACTGTAGATGTGTGTTGCATTTCTTCCCCCTAACATTCCTAACTTGAATAAATATAATTCAAATACGAATGACAGGGGTTAATTTGAATGATAAAAATGACGCCTCGACAAGTGACGATTAATTTGAATGCTAGTTGAGCAGTTTCTAAATTAAATGACAGATCTATGAAACCCTTCGACCCAAATCCTAAATTAAATACCAAAACGGGAAAATTGAATGATAATTGGCATGGCAAAGTCGATCTGCGCTAACTTAAATTCAAAGTAAATGAATTTGAATGACAAACTCGCGAATTTCGCCTAGAAATCCTATACTAGAAACTGGTAAGCTATTGGTCATCATGCAAGTTTTAGGTCAACTACATATCGGGTGATTTATAAAAATACAAATATAACAACCTCAATAGCATCTGGGATGTGCGAGAGATTCGCCGGAAAAATAACGATGTTTTAATGCCGTCACAATATGAACCAACCCTGCCCAAGCAGACGACATCCCATAAAGAATGAACATAATTGCATTGCTTTTATTTCTCAAATTATGATGAGCTTAGTGTATATAAATGTGATGGAGTTTTACACCATTCAAAAAGGGATATGACCCCATTCTGATAACTAAATTCTTTTGTTTGTAAATACACAGAATAGGGGTTAATGAACAATCAAAGAAACCACACTTTCAAATTAAAAAACCTCCGGAATGATAGCATGAACGTCACTTGTTTCCTCTTGAAACGCCGAACATGCCGCGGTGTATGCAGATGACAATTCAATGTCGTCTTATTTTGTTTACAAGCGACGGATTCCTTTTTTTTTATCCTTGCATTTTTCATCAAAGTAATACCATGCACGGGGTTTAGAGTGAGGCAACAGATTAAACATTTAGCCTGAGGGTATTGAAGTAAGAGAAATAACTGAAGAAAAGATGACAAAACAGGCACTGTAATTGTGTGAGATGTTCTGAGACATCGTCTGCTTGTGCACATCATGTTCAACGTGTGACGTCATATCTCAACAGCGACCGGAGAGCTTTTCAGGTGCTACGTCGGGGCTGTTTCTAAGGGTTTTGTAATTGTTAATAACCATTACTTCGAATGTTTCCAAGCATTGGCTTCTGATAACCTTGGCCAATCAAAGTGTCACATTTGCAATAATGACATTAAAGTTAGTTTTTTCATTATCAATTCTCTTTAATCTCGGGTTGGCCTAAACGTGAACACCACTGATGAGTGTCAGAGAGGCTGTTCACACCGGCAGAGATTGCGCCCGCTAGACCGCGCTATCTCTGCGGTTTGGAAGGTACAACGTCGTTTCGGTCCGCCCAACAGCGAGCCACGGCGAGCCAAAACGGCGTGCCACTGGAGCACCTCATCTTGGGGGTGGTCCACGAGAGATAGCGCGGTGTAGCGCGCGCTAGAAAAAAAGGGGTGCTACGATAGACCGCGCTATCTCATTGCGGTGTAAACAGCCTCAGAGAGACCATATGGCAGCGTTTCATGAAACCTTCATATGTACAAGTTCACCACATCCTATTGAAATACATGTAATAATTTTAACACTCGTTTCAATAGGATACCGGTGAACTTGTTAATACGACGATTTCGTGAAACGCTGCCCATCCGTCGTACCATGTAAAATGGACAATAATGTAGCTTCAAGATACAAAACATGAAACAAAACTGGTTGCTATGAGCACGATAAGAGAATCTTGTCTTTTGTTTTTCATAGAAAAGGGAACGTCATCTATATTATGATACATTAACATTTTGTTTGACGAGACATCAGATTATTAAGGAATACCGGTACGTGAAATATGTTCGATTGTTACCCACACAAGGCATTTTAGCTGTAAAATAAAAAGTCGTATTTTGCATGCTACTCCGAATAAGAAACCAGAGCGGGCAATATCTGCCATATTGCCCTCTTCCGGGTTTTCCCCGTAGACTAATGTATTATATCAGAAGGCAAAATTCTGCAATCGTATCCGGACAACTACCCCCCGGGCAAATACTTCCAGTAAACTACCCCCTAGGACAACTACCCCATAGAATAGTTGTTCGGGTGGTAGTTACCCGGGGGTAGTTGTCCGGGGGTTAGTTGTCCTAGAGGGTAGTTGTCCGAGGGTAGCTTATTGGGGGGATAGTTGCCCAGGGGTAGTTGTCACAGGGGGTAGTTCGTTGAGTTTTGGAGTTTGAGAACGAAGCTCGAAATGACGATTGAATAAGATCAGTCCCTGAGGAGGCGCGATTGCTCAATTGGTAGAGCAGTGGTCTCTTGATCCGGTGACCCGGGTTCGAAACCCAGTCGAAGCGCTAGTGCCCTTTGGTAAGGCATTAATCCTCATTACCAGGTCCCTCGGGGAGGACCTAAGGCCGTCGGCTTCCTGGTTGCTTTCTTACAAGCATTTATGATTTCTTAGCAGTCAGGTAAAGTAACCACCACCACATTCATTCAAATCGAACCACTTTGTATAACCTTGTCGTCTGCTGAGTGAACTAAGGACCTTGGGAGACGGGTAGAGGACTTCATCCGTTACAATGGTGTAATATTAAATCCCAAAAAACATTGCGCTTCAAAATGATCATGAAATGCCTTAAAGAGAAAAAATATTTGAGTGACCGGTTCTACCATACTCATTTTCCCCGATACACTGTAGTGTTATAAAAACCGTTGGGGAAACGATTTTTGACATTTTAAATTCCGATCATAAATATTTTGATAATCAGACGGGCGATCGGTTTGTAAACGTCATGTGATCCCTGATTGACCCAAAGGTTTATAATTATGATTGCAGCATGAGTTAAATCAAGAATTTTGTTTAGAATCTGAGCTAAAGATACCCAATCCCTTTAACAAATTTAATCAGACCGTAATATGACAACGAAATTCACAAAAAATATTCTGTCACTCTTCTCAATACAGATTACTTCTTTGTTTGTTTTTCGACACAGAAGCGGCATGTCCCACTGGATGGGACAGTAGAGAATCCGGATGTTACACGTTTACTCAAAGTTCATCCGGGCAAGACACGATGTCATATTCAGAGGCTTCATCATCTTGTGCCGCTATAAGTGGACAACTTGTTGTTTTCAACAGCTACGATGAGATGATAGATCTTGGTATTACGTACTTAGAACCGCAAGTTGCTGCTACTGGCGGCTATTTTATATGGGTTGGTTGTACGGACCAGGCCGTGCAGGGAACCTTCGAGTGTGAAGACGGTACACAAGTAGATAGTGGTAAGCTACAAATAATATATAGGCGACTCTCTTTAATTCGTTCATTCATGGGAAGGTAAAAACAGCAGTGAGGGCAGATCCAGGTAAACAAGGAAAATGCAATAAATTACTATCGATACGTTCTGAACTAAAATGGCGATGCATTGATCCTGCGCACACTTGTTGTTTACAATTAAATGATGTTACACTAAAAACAGCATAATCGGCATGAGGATAAAGTAAGGGTGGAAGGGCGGGTATGACACCACTTTAAAAAATCCGTAGGAAAATGCATATCATATCGGCGAGGACATTAATCTAAAGCATATTCAATATTTCGAAGCTTGTGTTAAATTATTTTTAAAAAATGTCTCCCAAAGAGGTGTTTACCATAAATTTGAAGCTCTTTCTTGAGTTCTTTGTTGTTTTTGTTTTTGTTTCAATTCTAAGGAGGTGTAGCTAAGCCTGCTAAGAAAAAGGAAACATTGATAGTGAAAATGCGCTCTGCTGTAGGCCTATGTAGATTACACTGCAAAAACCAGGGTGTTAAATATTCAACACCAGCATGGAATAGAAAAATATCAACACCCTTGGTGTTCATTTCATGTCCGATTGGCGAAAAATAACACCAACGGTGTGAAAATATTCAATTACAGGCTGATGGTGTCATATTTGGTGTTATAAAATCGCACATGCGCATAAGCTAGAGAATTCGACGAAAATCATTGGACGAAAGTTGTCATATGATCCGATATGCGCCTCTGCAGCTGCGCGCGCACAGCTAGACGAGAGCATGTGGCTAGAGAATTTCACTGGCACTGACTTGAAGTCTTGATTCTGGAGTAGTAATTCTTCAAATTAGGCCTAGATTCTAGATGTGAAGTGATCGAAGTGCATGCAACCATGCCATTAAGCGTCAGGGTCTGTTCAGCGGATCGAAGTATTAGAAAATACCTGCCTATAGATCCAGAAGACACAGTAGGATTCTTTGAACTCAGTAAGTGTACATGGTTCTTGTTTGTTATAAACTTTTATAGATCTAGCCTATAGTATTACGTGTTCGTCAGCTGGCGCTAGCCGCGCCTGTCGTTGGGTAGCCCAGGCCTAGAGGTCTAGGCCTACTATGCCTTGGCTGTCCGGCCGGGTTGGGTATCCGGTCAGCATGATGCCATTTAATATTTTATGGATTTCTGAAAAATTATCATTGATAAATACTCCAAAGGGCAAACATTCATGATAGATCTAGGTCTATATAGATCTATTGTTATTTAATACATATTTGTTTCAAAATGTAAAGGAAAAATCAGTAGATCTAGACCTAGTCTAGGGCCTAATCCTGGGTTTTTGCAAAAATATCAGGTCTAGGCTAGATCTAGATCTAGATCTAGAAGTCTAGACTAGATCTAGACTCTAGATTTCTAGGCCTAACAGTTAGATCTAGAGTTCTAACGTTAGATCTGCATTGACATTAGGCCTAGATATCTAGATCTAGATCTAACGTTAGATCTAGACTAGATCTAGACGTCTACCCCATTCATGTAATAAAAAAAATGCAAAAATAATAAACATGGAAATTCAATCTCTAGATCTAGATCTAGATCTAGACTATTTGTAGCGCACACAACAGTCCAAACTCCACCCCCGGTTGAGCTTGATGTCCCATTTAACAGTTTTAGGGTGTATTATAAAATGGCTCTAGATCTAGCCTAGTATTTTAAGCATCGTGATTGGTCAATACGCGTCACATGGCATTGACAAATTTTTGATGCAAGCACGATTTTGCAGAAATGAGTGCAGAAAAAGCGCAGTAAAAAGTTATATTGCACGGTGCGTACGCGTGACCATGGGGATCCAGTGCGCGCGCGTACGCGTAGTACTAGTACGCTCCCTCGAGTGCATTGTAGGCTATAGGCTACGCGTAGCTAATATGTACGCTCCAAGATCCACCATGATCCCCAGCGCAGCGTACGCGTTAGCTCTAGCTAGAGCGGGGTATTATTAGAAAGCAAATTTTTGTTTTACTTTTGCCTTGGATTTAGACCCGTTTTGACTTTTGGATTTTATAATGAAGCCAGGAATTTCAGCTGTCTGATGTAGACTCGTCTCTAGACACCCTATGCATTTTATTTTTAATCAAACAATGAATCCTGTAGACTTTTTGGTAAGCCTGCAAGGTCTTAGACCCTCATTTTATTTCTAGAACCAACATAACTCTAGATCTAGATCGAACTCTCGTATACTTAAGATCTAAACTTTTGTTTGTTGCTGTTTGTGTCGCTATTTTATAAAACAAATAACGCACTTGACCCTGTTGTGCGAAACGTAAATACAGTGTTCGCTCGGTTTCTTCAGATGGTTCGCACTGTCAACTCGCCGCAAGCGGCTTGTTGCACAGAGCGGCACCAATATAAAGAAACCTCGCGCGTACTGCATTCACCGCTATTGCACTCTGGGACGTGCGTTATTTGTATACTATAGCACAGTTGGGCTTGTAGCAGCAGTTTTTGCAGCATTCGTTTATTATGACTGAGCCATCAATCTGTAAGAAACTGAAAAGTGCACTGTGATATTTATTCTCATTTATTTAATCTCTCCTACAGTCAGAAGAAAATTCCACATAAGGGATGGGGAAGATCTCGTACTTGTGGATGAACAAGAAGGGTTTGGTATAGACGATGACGTACTAGGAGATGTGGTGACCAGCAATCCCACAGTCAGCCTCATGGTGCTAAAAGAAGATGAAGAATGGTCTGGTAAGTTTTGGATAAAGTGCATTATAATACAAAATTGCAAATCCCTGCTAAATGTGATATCATCAGTAGCGGATTCAGGATTTTAAAATAGAGTTAGAGGGGTGCAAAGAGCATATTAAAAATAAAGAGGGGGCGCAGATCACAATTTAACCTTAGTAATGTGTATGTTCACGAGGTAATTCTCAAAATATAGAGGGGGCACATGCCGGGTGCGCCCCCTGCTGGATCCGCCACTGATCATTGTATGTGCATGCATGTTAAAATGAGTCAGCGTTCGTCTGGTAGCAGGTACAGTGTAGGCTTGTATGCTGTATAGAGTCTAGGGAATTAACATTTTGCTTTTCATAAGCAATAAATGAATGTGCAGTTCAAATTACAGGCACAGGTCTCAAAACTTGGTGGAGGAAAAAAAAACCTACCCTTTTTTGATGACGTAACCTTGCCACAAGAGCCGTGATTTGTGGGCGGTCAATGATCTAAATTCGAAGTCTAAAGATTATAAAAATTACAGATTCTTACAAATTGAATTTTTTAACAATGCAAACTTGCATTTAAAAAAAAAATGTCTTTAATTTAAATTGTGACCCCACCGAACAAATTTGAGGAGGGGACTGTGAAACGGGCGCCATACTTGTGTGTTTCTGTGCGTGTCTGTGTATGATCTTTGACCTTTTGCTTCAAAATCCTACAAAAGGCCACTCCTATGCCATTTCTCATCTGATTTTGATTCTGTTTGCTTTGTGTGATAGCACGAGGTGAGGGCTATTGGACCCATAGAAACCAATAAGTTTAATGGTTTCAATAGGGAAAGGGAAATAAAGGACCCATAGAAACCAGCAGAAAGGTTATATTGCTCCAATAGAAATCCAACACATACTTCTGTTGGTCCATTAGAAATCCATCAGAAAATTTTTGCTGATCCAATAATAGGAATCCAACAATTTCTTTCTGTTAGTCTTATACTTATAGAAAACCATCATGAAAGAATTCTGTTGGATTATATTGGACAGACCTATTGGTTTCATTGGGAACAGTCCAATGGAAAAGTAATTGAACATTTCTAAATGCTAGTATTATAATTCACTTAGACATGAATGAATGCATCAATTAACAAATTGTCCATTAAAAAATGCTCAAGTATTATAAAATTAACAAATGTGTCAGACCAATATAACTTAGCTGGTTTCTGATGGTTTTAGACTAATAGAAATTTATATGCAGTTGGACCTCCCTTATCCAGTCTCCTTTATCCAGATCACTTGAGAATTTGCCTATTTTACTCAAATAATTAGCGGAACCAACAAAGATTTCAAGCATACTCGTAATATCGCAAACTATTTGGGTTACTTATATACATTATTCCCAACATTGTTATTACACATTCAATTCAATTTTTCATGATCAGAAACATGCATTCATTCAAACTCGGCAACTGCATGTTTTGAATATAGGATTCCCTTATGCATGTTAGTGCTGATCCCAAGTGTGGGGATAAAGGAGGCCCAACTGTATTCAATTCTACCAAAGTTTAAGATGCCAGTATTCATTGTTTTTTAACAGTGCTCATGGCTTTATATCTTTTTTTCTTTATTAAAGGTTCAGATGTACATAGCATCACAAGTGCAGACACTATCAAGGTGGATACCAGCTCCTCTTCCCTGAGTAGCTCAGAATCTGATTCAAGTTTTTGCTCCAGTAGAAAGAGGCCACGATTAAATGCCCTCAGTGAATCAGGTGCAATCACTGACAACTCTTGTGAGGTAAGGTTAAGAAAAAATTGTTTGCTTCATTTCAATCTCAGCTATCATAATCAACATAATATAAGGGACTCATCACCTATACGGATTTCATATTATTTAAAATTGAAAATGATATTGGGAGAAAAAAAATACATCTAGTGTAGTTAGAACTAACATTGTAAATTAATATTTCCTGTAGTAAGGTTTTTGTAATGGTATAGGTTAACATTAGGCAACTAATTTGATTTCTTTTTTGGTACATCTAAGCTGACGACTCCTGTAAGATATTGGCCATCTTTTTTGCTTCGTCATCTGTCATAAGTTTTCCATAAACTTTTACAGTTTCATTTTCTTCCAATGGGTGGTATGATTTCAAACAAATGATATTATGTCTAGAGGTTTAAATTGAATTGCCAAATTTTATGAAATGTTTTAGAAATGGGAAAGAGAAATGAGGTAAATAATCATCGAATAATACATCTCATGATCTGGTTCCACCCAGGACCAAAATCCAATTGAAACCAGTTGA